GGGTAGTGGTGGGTAGATGGAGTGGGGGATACGCTGGGGATGGGGGAGGAGGGATGGGGGTGAGGGGAGAAAGAGCAAGAGGGACTTACATGTGAAACAAGCTTGTTCCCTAACTAGAACTAATAAATAAATTTTAAAAAAAAAAGAATGGGATGTTAGGCAAACAAAGCCAGGGGTGGTTACATATGCTTGTCATCCCAACACTTGAGAGGCAGAGGCAGATGGAGTATGACTTGAGACAAGCCTAAGATACAGAGTAAGACAAAAACAAACAAATGTGTGCTGGTGAGCATGTGGGGAAAGGGGACATTTAGACACCTTTGGTGGGCATGAACATCTACTACAGCCATATAGAAGTTCCTTTAAAAGCTGGAGCTAGAACTACCACGTGATCCAGCAGTCCCACCGAAGGGTATGTTACCTGGAGGGCCTGAAACGAGCACATTAAACAGATTCTACATGCCCATGCAGAAACGAGCACATTAAACAGATTCTACATGCCCATGCAGAATTTGTCATATTATGTCAGATATGAGTAAGCCTAAGTGTCTGTCGACAGTTGAAAGGAGTTTTTAAGTGCAGTACAATACAGTTCAGACATAAGACGAGTAAAATCCTGTCATGTGTGACGATCTTGAAGCCAAAGATCCTTGTTCTGAAGGAGAGAACCCAAGCACAGAACGGACAGACATTGCCTGCTCTCACTCTTACATGGAGTCTCTGTAAGGAAGCAGATCTCAAGGAAAGTAGAACGTGGGTTCCTGGGCTGTGGAGGGAGGGAGAGGGGCACAGGGGGAAAGGTTGATGAAAAATACTCAGATCTAAAAGGAGGCACTCTGGTGCTGGTCTGTTTCCCAATAGGGTGCCATTGGTAACAACAATGAACTATGTGTTTCAAAATAACTAGAAGAGATTTTGCACATACCACAAAGAAATAATGTTTGAGGTGGCAGGCATGCTAATGATTCTGAGTTGATTGTGGCAGTATACACACATGTGTCAAAGCATCACACTGTGCCTAATGAATACACACAGTATCTGATGCCAACTTGAAATCAAGTCAAACTAAAACAAATAACAAGTTAATGAGTTGACAGTTTTGGATTTAGGTCTTGCCTTCAAGGAATACATGGCACCAACCCAGCTGTCTTTGGGGATCTGATTCTGCTACCCATCTATCAATTACTTAAATCTGTTGCTTGCCATTGCTCAGTTACCCAGGAGAACTCCATGCTTGCTGCTGCTCTCGGATACTGAGAATGAAGTGGATGCCACATGGGGAGAGAAAATGTGTGCCTGGGAGTGAGGCCATAGGAGGCAAGTTGCTTAAATAATGAACTGATGGGAACTTTAACTCCTTGATTTCTATTTTGTCTCTTCAAGGGCATGGACGAGCCTGAGTTCAGAGACCATTCTGACCATTTCTGACTGAGATGATTCCTGCAAATAGGACTCTTTTTATTCCTAAATATTCCTAGAATGAAAAAGAATTACCAGTTATAGGACTTGCATGGTTGTGAAACAGTTTCCTGTTTGCCCTCAAGACAGATTAACTGAACTCTCGATCCATGCACAGGATGCAAAATCAAAGTAAACGTGGTACCAGCCGTCATTCTCCTGGACCCCTCCTGGATTCCTTCTACATGTTTCCTTCACTCACTCTGGTCCTCTTTCTCTTCCATGGCTCTAATTACCCAGCTTGCTTCATCATGGAGTGATTTATCCCCACCCACCCACCCTGCTTTTTTCAGTCTTCTAATTTCTGGTTCCTTGTTTCTCTTTAGCTTGGTGGAGAACACTGAATAATTAAAGTTAGAATGGTGAACAGTTTAGAAATACCAGCTCTTTCTTTGCTAAGTTCTCATGGTTTTGTAAGTGGTGTTGTCATCCCTATTGTAAATCTGGGGAAAATGCCACATACACACACACACACACACACACACACACACACACACACACC